ATCAAACGAAATGAAGTGATGACGTTTGTTGAATAATAAAGGATTATAATCCCTTATAATAGATTACAATTCAATAAAAATTGAAAAAAAAAAAGTTTTCAAAAAGCAATCAATTATAATCGATTATACTCGTTTATTATAATTTTTTATTGTTTCGAAAAAAAAAGTAAGATTAAAATCTATTTTTAATCGATTATAATCAATTTTTTTTGAAATTTATGAAGACTGACAATGAAAATCCATTATATTCTATTATTTTCTTTTTTTTATTGAGTACGTGAGTCTCTCAATGTTCGGATTGCCCTCTAAATACATGTATTTTTTTATTGCTTCTTATTTTTGAGGAATAAAAAGATTCAGTTTTGCGTCTATTAAAGACTCATTGTTTTTCATTTAGTACAGACAGTAGATCCGATTTTTTTTTGCGTTGCTTAGGCTAGTATTTTTCTCTAAACCGTTTGACCTCTCATCATCTTTCGCGTACTATCAGAGGCGAATCTAGGACTTTCTCGGGGGCTGATTTTCGAAAAAATTACTAGCCTATGATTTTCCAACCCTTTTTTTAGGTCAACCAATTTGATAACTTGATTTTGAAATTTTTGAATTAACAAGCCAAAAAAATGGTTTTTAGGCATATTTTTAGGCACTTTTTGAAAATCGCGCTTTTTGGCGCGTGAAAGCCTCAACTCCCCCCACCCCCCCCCCCCTCCTTCCAAATTAGTGAATATTGTCGACAAAGGCGTCTTTAGAAAAACTTTTGGGTAATTCAGCCCAAATATTAAGAAATGGGACCCTTTGGATCGGCTGAGTCCACCTCTCCCCCCTAAACCCGCTACTGCGTGCTAATACTTGATGCTGATTTTTAGTCAATAAACCCTCAAGATTTTACAAAGACATCTTTAGCGGCAATATGTATGATTTTTGTAGGGTATCGAGCTTTTGAAAATGCACTTCAAATATGCCTAACTCTCAGCAATTCAGTTGTAGTTTGCGATAAGCCAGATAGCAATTCAATGATAACGCATTGATGACTTAATCAAGTTTTTGATCCAATTACAAACTATTAAAACACTTGCTCTTGGGTAATTTTATGTAAACCATATTCTGCAATGTAAAATTATAGTTTTTGACAAAACTTTTTGTACTTAAAAACCAGTACCTGAGTTCAAAATCAAAAATATATATCACCTGCGATCACTTTAGTAAAGCTCTGGGGGTTTGAAATTGCCAATTTCTCCTGTTCTAGGAGTATTTTTTGCGCGCTTGTTAGAATTTGTAATGATGAGTGCATGAGTACGAACTATTTAAGCTTGACAAAAGTTTTGCACACAAAATCATTCCAACGAATTGGTCATATTAATCCCAAAAAAAATAACTAAACTTACAACACTTATTATTTGACATTGGCCGTTGGGTTTGGGTCTTTTCGGTTATACCCAATGAAAAGTCGAAGTCAATTTTATTACTCGATATTACTCAGAAATGCTGGTACTCAAATTGGTTCTGGCCAAAACGATGCCATTTCAGTTAATTTAGCCTCATATAGGTCCTTTTCCTTGTTTTTTTGCCGTTTTTTTCATATAAAGTTCACAAATATGATTCCAAATTGCCGTTTTTTATTCCAATGTTTGCAGTTTTCCGAGTTGATTCAAGGTTCTTGATATTAACTTCGTGTTGTCGCAGTAGTATAAACCCAGTTCTGCATTTCAAGTTTTTTTGTTCCATAAAATTAGCGTAAATTAAATTTCAAACTATGCCAGAAATAAATGAAATTAGTAGAGAACTGATAAAAGCGCGTAGTGCTGATACCGAAATGGTACCTTTCAAATCCCCAATTCTGATCATGAGAATACTTTTTTGCTTCCTTTGACTTCAAGATTTTTTTTCAGTCTGTTAATTAATCTGTAAAATTTTTCAAGTCTCTAAATTATACAGTTAAAATTTGACTAGAAAGTTTAAACATACCCGAGCAAAATTATTTTTCATCTGTTTTTCTGAAAAAAAGGAGAACAATAAACCTCATCAATTGTTAGTTCCTTGGAAAAGATACTCTAATAAATTATTGTTCCGACTTTTGTAACGAACGTAACGGAATATTTGTGATCGGGTCGAGTTTTTTTTTCTTCAAACAATTTTCGACTTTTTAACTAGCCATTTTTAACGGAATTTATAAATGTCATTCAAAATGTATTGTTGTCCTGAGCTTAAATTTGAAAAAAAAATTTCACCTGTGATCATTTTTTGTAAAATTATGGGGGTTTAAAGATTGCCATTTTGGCCAATTTTGGATATTTAACGAGCGATATATTTCGCGCTAACAACTCATAAGCGGAATTTAATCCGTCTTAGAAATCTTTCCAAATGGGTTGAAGAAAGCTTGATTGCCATAATTGATATGTTACTAGGAGCGAAATCTATCACTTTGTTCTTTATATGGCATGTGGGGGGATAATTTTCAAACATTTTTTTGTTGAATAGATCTTAACAGGCAGTCGGAACATTCGACCTGATACGAGCAGTCTTGTTGTCATTAACTATTACACCAAAAATCATTACAGCGAAGGAAAGTGCATCCAGATCGCTCTGCACAAAATTTTTTGTAATTTTTAGAGAGTAAAGAAATGATTCAACTATTAGACCTAGGAGAAACAAATTATTCTTCTGAATATGCATTATAATTTCGTCCGCAAGAAAACATTGCAGCAATTTTTAAGCCCCATAACTTAACGAAAAATGATCACAGGTGAATTATATTTTCAATTATAAGCTCATGACAACAATACTTTTTGAATGATTTTCAAAAATTCTGTCAAAAATAGCTAGCTAAGAAGTCAAACTTTGGCTGGAGAAAAAACCACCTCGAGCTCAAATATCCCGTAATCTTCGTTACTAAAGTTCAACAGTGGGTAATCTTTAAGCAAAACTTGTCAAAGAAACGAGTAGGTGTAATCAGTGAGTCGGAATAGTACGCCGACCAACGATCACTTTGCACAATTTAGGGGCGGATGGATACTACGAAGTGACAGTGCAGGGCATCAAGATGACTGCCTACTGTGTCATGGGAGAAGAGCCCGCCCTGACTTATGTCGACATTGTTGCAAATACAAGGGTTCACTCAGCCACCGGCCCAGGCGAGGTATAAATTATTCACAATCCTTTCAAAACATTCCACCTTCAACCATTGAAAACAGCTTGACTTCTCTTGGCAAACAAATTTGCGGTTTATTGTACTAAGCGAAATGTTGTCAAATTTCTTTAGCGAAAACTAGTCAAAAGCAATTAAACTGTAAAAAATTCCATGTCGAAACCTTCGCTCATTAAAGCATGGCCATTTGGCTGCTCTGGTTTGCAGTTTCTTTTCAAGTAAGTAGCAGATACATAATATGCTACTGTTAAGCTCCGTACAGTTTAAGACTCTTCTTTTGAATCAGAGGTAGAATTAATGAACAAGGAGGGGAACAGGCATTCCAACAAACATCCAAAGGGGGCGGTAAAAAAAGGTCGTTCAAACCATCTAAAAATGCTTTAAAATGGCATGCCTTTGATGCCTGTTTGTTTTAAGAATCTGACTAAAACGGTCGGGGTAGTATCTCGCTCAGATGCTTGATATTTTTCAAACTAGTCGAGCTTCAGGTTCTACCGTAGAAATGTCATGATTGCGCTCACCCCTCGTTTCACTGAAATTTTCGCCATCCGTATTTGCTGTTGCTTGGCATTTATGATTTTGGTATTCTGAGCAGTTCCACTTTTCAGTTGTTTTGTTCTTATGTTTAGGATAATACTCGTGGCCTGATAGTATTAATAATTAATTGTCTTTGGAAGAAAGAGTAAAATGGAAGGACGCTTTAAACATGGCTCAACGAATGGTTCAAATGCAAGGCAGTATGATTTCATGTAAATCTTTTAGAGGTCTTTCGTTGCCTTCAATTAGCAGCATCTAAGTTATCTCTGTTTTGTGCGCGTGAATGAGGGATTGGATTGTTTTTTTAGCTAATCGAAATGCAAACCTTTTTTGAGATTCTAAGTACATCAAATGGATTAAGAATGGCTTCTCAACTCTCAATTAGTATACTTAATTAGATTTCTACTGTTAATATTTAAGTACTTAAATTGAACCAACTTATCGGTATTAAAGAGGGGTTGTGGTGGGGTTACCTTCTTAGAGGATTATAAAGTAGGGTGCGCAAACATAGGGGGTTAAATAACGTGGGGTTGAAGAGTGGGACACCCTAAAAATAAACGAGACATTTTTGGTCCGCCCTTTTTCAGAAAAATTCTTTAACCGCCTTTTTTCTCAATACCATGACTTTTGGTTCGCTATATGAACAATTTAAAAAATAATATTTGGTTAACATTGAATTTTCTTCTCAAATTAGCTAGAGGGTATTATCTACTACTAATAAAATTAACTACAAACTGAGTCTTCATTAATCAATATAAATTATTGAAAAACGATTCTCAATTTAAAAGTACTTTTAACAAAAGTTTGCGTTAAATTATTCAATATAGAAGTTTTTATTGTTTCGACTTTCGATACGAAAGTAACGGAATATTTGTGCTCGGATGGTTTTTTTCTTCAGACAAGTTTCGACTTTTTGACTAGCCATTTTTGACGGAATTTCTTTATAAATATTTTGACGGAATTTCAAAAAGTATAACGTATTGTTGTCCTGAGCTTAAACTTGAAAAATATTTCACCTGTGATCATTTTTCATAAAGTTGCGGGGGTTTAAAGATTGCCATTGTGGCCAACTTGGGACAATTAACGTGCGATATATTTCGCGCTAAAAACTCATTAGCGGAGATTTAATCCATCTTAGAAATCCGTCTATCCAAATTGGTTCAAGAAAGCTTATTTCCCATAATTGACTTGTTACGAGCAGCGAAATCTATCCTTTTGTACTTTATATGGTGTGTGGGGTGATGATTTTCATAAAAAATTTCAAATTTTCGAATAAAAGTTTTTTCATTTTGTTTTATTGAATTTAATTTTTCAATGTTATTACTGCTGCATAAACCTGAAAGGCAGTCGGAACTTTCTGGGCTTCGCACTGATACGAGCAGTCTTGTTGTTGTTTATAGCCAAATATTTAAGGTACGGTAACAAATGTCTCGGGGCCTCAATACGGGCTTTAGCAGCCCAATTTGTAGGGATCCTTGTGAGTTCACACAAATTAGGTTGAAATAGCTAGCTTTTGCCTTAAATTTTCGATTAAAAGAGGCTTAGTACGATCGGTTCCTTAGTTATCAGGGAAATAATGGGCACCCAATGTCCCCCAAAGAGGAGCCCAATTTGTGATCATTCAGGTTCTTTTGCTAAAAATTGGGCTCATGGGGACCAACTGGAAAAGGGGATCAACAATTGGGCGCCATTTGCTGAAAATTCTGTGCAACCAGCACCCTGAATAGCACAAAAAGACCAAAATGGGGACCAATTGTGGGTCTTATGCACAAAAAAAACCCAAAACCAACATTTCTTATATCTTGAGCTAAAACTTTCGCGGTCGAATCTGATTTGCTACGAGTATCAGATGAAAATGGTAGCCAAAGCTACCAAATTGTGAAACTTTGTCAAAAATCACATTATTTTCATGTCACTTGGGAAGTTTTTAAAGACGATAAAAACTCAGTAAAATTGCTTCAGCAGAATAAAGGTTGGTAGTAGATGTTGGAGTTTAAGAGGTGGGGGGGGGGGGGTATGTGAATCTGGGAGACCCACATATTTTAAGATAGGAAATAGAAAATCCAGTCTCTAAGCTATATAATAAAAGTCAGTATAGATTCTAGAATGTATTAAGATGTGGAAAAAGTTTGTAAGATTTCACGGTTTGTGTGATGGTAAGAGAATGGTAAGAAAAACGATACTTTTTGGATTTTGTGTGGAAATGAAATGTCCAGTTTATTTGCAAAAATTTTGGAGCGCGTTATCAACCCGGTAAATATCAATGGTTAATTACGTGTGGGTTGTGGAATGAAGGTCTTGTAATTAGTTTTTTTGGTTCATGGTAAGTCATTGGTGAGAGTTCTTGGGGAACATTTTTTTATAGAAACCTTCAAAACACGTTACGATTCGATATAGTTTGAACTATTAACTACTTTATTAGATGATCAATTTTTCTAAAACAATGCTCTATTTCTGAAACTATGCTGAAACCTACTGAAACTTCACAAAAAATCGAAACTTTTGAGAAAAAATTAAAACACATAGAAAATATTTAAATCACTGTGTCGTACTTTAAGTTTACCGCAACTTTATAATAAAAAAACAACAAAATACTGCATTGTTTATAGGTTAAATACATGGCATCATAAGTTTATTAAATTGCATCAGCTCATCAGTTCAATGGTTTTGTATGAGTTCCATCGTCTTGAACGTGTCTTTTAGGATAAAAATAACTAAGTCCTTTCTGTGTTTGCTCATATGTAGCCACCCTATACTTTATGTTCTGAATCCTCTATTTGTAGATGTTAGCTTGATTGCTTCATCGAACACTCTCCTGTACTTTGACATGGGTCCGTTTCCAGAATCTTCTAAAACTCGTTTGCTTAAACCTTTTCTACTGAATTTGAATATATTTGACTTGTGTAGCAAGACATATTTCTGCGATGACAACAAACATAGCATTCATGTACATCTAAGTTGAAAAGTTTTGGCTCCCGTTTATCATGCTTTTTTTGCGTATTGCAACATGTTCGAGGGAAGAAATTAGATTTTGCATCTGCCTTGAATGAGTCTCCGCAGTCATTTTCCCTCATTTTTCCCAAGCAGCCTCTTATCTGGTTGGATACAGTCATATAAATTTTCTTCAGCAAGTGCTAAATAAGGTGAGTCTGTGTTCATCTCCAACTCTTCAAATTTCTTTACATCACAGTATTTGTCCAAAAAAATGTAACACAGCTCCAACATTCTCAGTTTTGCATACTGAAGTATGAAAAATCCAACAATGATGGGTTCTCTGTGCTCAATGGTTGATTTTTACATTTCAACCTCATAAAAGTCTTTCCCAAATGATTTTAGTTTTTTAAACAGTGATTCATTGATTGCTTTGTGAGTTTTTCATCGTTCAGATATTTTGTGATTGTATGCCTGAATATATCCATGATCTGATGTCACAAGAAGGAATTGACTGAAAATTTCATTGTTTCTGCTAAAACTCCTGACAAAGGGTTTTTATCTCCTTCTCCTCTAGAATCAGCCACTTACTGTACAAAAGAATTGCAAAATTTTTGAGGAAAGTACTAAACCAAACAGTAAATTTTGGTGCAATGCAAGCCAAATTCCATGCAAAATTTGAAGAGAGGGGTTAGAGAGAACATTTAAACCACACTGAACACAGCCAAAAAGTTACATCTTTTGTTTTTACTAAAAGGGAGTCTGTAGAAAGAGGTTTTTTGCAGGTAAAGTGGGTTCTGATATGATTTTTTATCTTGGTGTTTTCTTTAACTTCGTATCCTTTCTCTTTTATGTAGTCCAGTCTCTTATCATCCAACTCTCTCTCTCTCTCTCTCTTTATCTCTCTCTCTCTCTCTCTCTCTCTTTGTCTCTCTCTCTCTCTCTTTCTCTCTCTCTCTCTCTCTCTCTCTTTCTCTCTCTTTCTCCCTTTCATTATCTCGTTCAACATCCTGATCTGTTAAGGAGGGACAAATTTCTTGAAAAGAACAGAAGTGGAGGTAACATCACATGCTTCGAATACTGTTTTACAGTAGTGATCACAATAACCGTCCACTTTAAAACAGTCGATTTTCTTCTGTTTTCCAGATGTGAACAAGCTCTCAATTCAACATTCTGGTCTTGTTTCCTGGAAGAACGAAATGACCATATTCTAAAAGTTGAAAGATCGGTTATATCAAAGTCCCATCTCGTGTACAATATTGTTGGCATATCTTGACACATTAAGAAAGGGTAAAGCTGGCTTGTATCACTTCCAACGATCGATTTACATGTTATGATGAATTTTGATGAATGTTTCATCAACTACAGCTTTTCGGGTAAATACAATCGAACGACCACCGTTCATGTCTTCTCAAAGTTTTTCACACAAATTCTTTTCTTTTTCGGAAAACGGATAAAAATTGTAATTGATAGATTTGCAAACACATATTTTTGCTAGATTTGGAAGAATACATCCAAGTTGG